GATCAATAAAATTGTTCCAATCCAACTTACGTTAATCTATATTCCATTTATTATAAAGCTAAATCCTTTAACAACATAGATATTAGTGTGATCGTAACTCATATTATTCGTTTTCTTCGCAGGTTTATCAAGGTTACCTCACACGACGACGTAACTGGTCTGTTGACGGTGACGCTTGGCGGCAGCTCGGCGATGTATCTTTATTGACGTTAGCGGCTCCTCGGCGTCACCCCGCTACGTGTTGTTCTCTGGCCTACGGCGTACGACTTCCCTCCGGCGTACCGTTCCTTCTCCTCCTCCGGCGTGGACCGGAGCAAGGTGTTTTGTCGTTTTTTTTTCCCCGGCGTTTTAGTACAGCCCGAAGGCTTCTATAGAGTGTATATATTTAGGTTTGGTGTTGGGCGAGTAAGTGCAATGCAGACTGCAGCGAGGGTATGAGTATTTATACTGTTTATGGATGGTTCTAGGCCTTACATTGGAATCTCCGATTTACTACGGATATACCGAGGATTGCACGGAAGTCTTCGTTATTTGTATATTATTACGTTTACATAACCCGAAAGGTTGGGAATTGGATTCGTTTGTTTGGAAATACGTACGTAGTACACTTTTAGTTTAGATTAAATGCATTCGTGTTGGAAATACGTAGTATGCTTTTAAATTAATTGAATGCATGCATGTGCTAAATATATTAGGTTGAATAGTCAACCATTATTCTTTGGTTTAAAAATAATTTAAGTTGCATTTGAGTGTAACATAATTTAACATATCATTTTATAGCAAAACGTCACTTATTTCACTATTTTTACTTTTGTTACATTTATTTATTTACTTATTTATTATTATTATTATTATTATTATTATTATTATTATTATTATTACTATTATTATTTGTTTAAATTTTTTAGAGTGTTATAAGATTATTGTGTGCTGATGGTGCAACTGTGCAAGAGCTTGAATTTTGAATTTTTCATAAGATATCTTCTGCAATTTCAAATTTTCAATAAGATTTTTGTTTCAAAAGTAATATGGACGTTATAATTGCGCCTTTTATAGGTTGTTTGACAAGTTGAAAAAATCGTTTTTGTTTAAATGTTGGATGTGTAAATGATTTTCGGTGAGTGTTTCTTTGAAAAAAGAAGTATATACTTAATGTAGTTGTGTTAGTATTAACGAAATGTGAGTGATTTAGTGATTATTAATTTTTATTATTATTTGGATATAAGTATACATTGTGTTTCTTTTGTTCACTACAAATTATCTACTAAGTTAAAGGAGATCAAGCTAAATTACCAATTTTACGTTTTTTGTGCGTGTCAAAAACTTTGTAACTTTTCTCTTAAAATAATGTATTTATGATTATTCTTATTTATCTCTCCTCACCATAAATTGCATCAACACAATTTTTATTTTTCTAATTAAACATTTTAATTAAAGTAGGCAATGTCCGCTAGGGTGCACGTACTAAGTACTAAAATAAAAATAAGCCGAATGTTCTTAATTAGTATGTGCGTGTTCAAAATATACGGAGTACAAAATAGTAAAACACTTTAGTAAATGACAAGCTTTCTTAAACTAATCAGTAATGTAACTAAGAGTCATGAACACAAAATAAAAGAAACGGTTTCACAATGTGATCGAGTAGACACATCATAATACTTCAATTGCTTAGTTATATGCATTTTTTTATATTGTTATTATAGGTCACGGAAAGGTGACATAAAGTAGAGGTCTCTCACTTACTACTTATTCATTCTTTATTTACTTTTGAGAATAGTTGAGCAAGAACTTCTTTATATGCATTAGAGATCATAACTTTTGATGATTTTTGTTCATGCCCCTTAGTTAATTACTAAAAACATTGACTAACATTCATGACTAGGGATGGATTGGGCCCGGGACGGGTCTGTGCGGGACTAAGGGTTTGGGAAATCAGGCTCGGTACCGGCCCGGGTTGAGACCGGGTCGAGCCGGGCTACCCGGGCGGGTCTCAGGTAGGGTTAGGGTACTTTTTTTTTGCCAATTTTGTTTAAAATTAATACATCAAGTTCTAGACAATAAAAGGTTAAAGTATATTTATTTGAAATATGAACTACACTTGAGAATTAAGAAAATTTTAAAACATTAAATACATTTCCTAGAAATCAATCGGAGCTAGCCCAGACCAGTCCATAGATTTCGGCTCGGACCGATCCCATTAAATACAATGCAGCCCAAGCCTTTAAATTTTTTTTAAAGAAAATAGCCATTACAGGTCCGGACCGGTCCCGGACCAGCCGGGCCGGTCCATAGATTTCAGAGCCTTTTGCCCTCCCCTCTTTCCCAATTCGGACCCCCAGTCTCGGACCCAACATCGCCTGCCCGGGCCTGCACAGTAGCGGGCCGGGTCCCGGGTCGGGCTGACCCGTCCCAGTCCATCCCTATTCATGATGCAAAGGCCACACAAAGGCTTTCCAATGCATATATGAATGCTCTTAGTCAACTAATTGACTTATTAGAAGTTCTTAGTTAGTTAACTGACGTAACACTCAAGGGTGAGGTTAGTTTTGAATAGTTTATTTAATAGGAAAAATTGACAAGAATAATCCCACCTTTCATTGGTCTTCTCATAATAATCCTACCTACATAATCCCAAAACAATCCCACCTTTGCACCTCATCTTCTTTCATTGGACCCTGACCAAGTATTTTACCTTTATTTGAAAATATTATATAAATAATCTCACATTTATAAAGATATAATAGAAAAGTTAAAGGTGAGATTATTTATATGATTTTCAAAAAAAAAGTAAAAAACATGGTCAGGGTCCAATGAAAGAAAATGAGATGCAAAGGTGGGATTATTCTGGGATTATCTAAAGGTGGGATTATTATGAGAAGACCAGCGAAAGGTGGGATTATTTTTGTCAATTTTTCCTATTTAATATGAAGTATTCCGTATTATTTAGTACATGGTTAACTTACACAGTTTATATATGTTTAAAGGTAAGTGTTCCCTGGCATTTACCCCACTGAGTTTGGTGGTTTGCCTTCCGGGTAAAAAAAAGTGGAATATACAAAATAGTGTAATTTAAAGGCGGCATGCATTATTTTAAAAAAAAAGGCAAGGGTCGAGGGTAATCGTAGGAAACCTTATGATTTTGCATGTCCTCTTTTTACACATTCATGATTGTATGTTGCGGGTTCACCACGATATGCAATGAAAAAATTGAAAATCTACAAAAAAAACGTCATCCACAAAGTCCTCAGCCAAATCTAATTTGTGTGCTGATTAATCTTTTAATATTTTACGATTTCTCTCATTCGTGTGATAAGTTATGATAAGATTTATAAATGCTTTAAAATATGTATATTACATCCCGTGCAACGCACGGGTGAGAAACTAGTATATATAATTGATGATAAATCACTAATTCGGTAACCGACGTCCTCAAATTTAGGAAGGAAGTACTCCGTATATGTGAGTCGTGACTGACACATACTTCCTCCGTTCCCTTTTAATTGCAACAGTCAACATTTCACGTTTGCCAACGCACAAGTTTGACCATTAATATCTTTCATTTCTTATTACTAAAAAATTTAAAAAAATCATATTTCTAAAATTTAGAATAAGAAGAATTTAATAGTATTTTTTTAAAAATTAATTTATAATACATTAATGAATAAAATATAGTCAAAGTAGAATATATGAATAGTGCAAAAAGTCCAATGTTGCGATTAAAAGAGAACGGAGGATAGTATAAGTTTCTTGACCTGGCATTCCATCAATTCAAGCACAGTTTGATCAACCGGGAAAAAAAACTGCAATTTTTCCATTCTTGTCAACGACTGCACATGAAGGCCAATTTTGTCCAAGGAAGGCATCATTGAGTTTTTAAGATTTGTTTTTTTTTTTACTTTGAGAGGCCAAAATTTTTACAAGGAAGGCATAATGTTAGCAACAACAATGTTAGCAATAGCAGTGAATCACTGCTCTTGCAGGGGGCCTCGGCCCCTGCAAGAGAAAAAATTCTTAAGTATATATTATGTATAAATACTTTTAATCTATAGAAAATATGTCGATATTTTAAACTTTGGCCCATGCAATGTAAAATTTTTAAGGACTGGCCCCTTTAACAATATATTTCTGGCTCCGCCACTAGCAGTGATACGGTTGTTCTGGAAACAATTTTTTATGTGTTAGTGAAAATGAATAAATTATTGGAAAAATTGAAAACAATAATCCCAACTATTGATTATTTTTGTATAATCCCAACTATATAGACTATCCGCCAATAATGGTCCATGACCATATATTACCTCTATAAAAAGTGAATTTTAAATAGAAATTAAGCGTAAAAATTAAAAGTTGAGATTATTTATAGGGATTACTTGTTATATCTCATCTCATCCACTTTAGAAACTACAAGAATTTATTCATAGGGACCATTATTGGCGGAAGGTCCCTAAAGTTGGGATTATTCTGTAATAATCAATAGTTGGGATTATTATGAGCGGACCGCCAATAGTTGGGATTATTACTATCAATTTTTCCTAAATTATTTTGGCCAATTTTGAGTGCTCATTGATGACCACCAATTCACTAATTACTTGCTTAGTAAATAAGAAAGTCTCAGTAACTTACTTTTATTTTGTATGTATTCATGATATTAGATTAGTAGTTGTGTTGTGTTGATGAAATCTCATTAATTAATTTGTTCATAATTTCAGTGACCAAGACCACGTTAGTAATTAAGTAGTTGTGTTTTTAGTGACACAGATGTGTTGTTAAGTTTAGCATATTAGGAGTAATTAACCAATTAAGAGCATTTATTAAAATGAGTCACTTTTTTGGGAAATGTAAAAGATGTCATATTTTTAGAAATGAAAACTCTAGTAGTAATTATATAGGTGCAATTGTTTCGAGATCAATCCTTTCAAATATAATCTCTTTTTTATATGGTTTAGAACAATTCATTAATTAGGAATCAAGAAAAAGTTTCTAAAATAGGAGTAAACTAGTGTTGGAATTCCAAAATAAAATTATCATATTTTTTTCGAAATAGGAGTAACATGAAAGTATTTATTGTCATTTTGGAGTTATCATTAACCAAATCTTCTATTATACAAAAGGAAGCTACACTACAAAAAAAATAACGGGATTGGCACGGAATTTGGCACGGACTTACCGATTTTTCGTGCCAAATAGCTCGTGCCAAAGTGTTTTTGGCACGGATTTGGCATATCCCTGCCAAAATCCGTGCCAAATCCTTGCCAAAATCCGTGCCAATCCCGTGTTTTTTTTGTAGTGCTAAAACCTGCACAGTATTCCCGCCCAAAAACATCAGATCAGTGGGTCGGGTCGGGTCTTCAACAGGTCGGGTCGGGTCTTTGCTAGGTGATCTGACTTCTTTGGTCAACAATTGCTGGATGATATGACATTTTCCTGGCTAAATAATGAGCAATATAGTGTAAAGCTCGCTGCTCCATAAGCCAACAATAAATGTGGGGAGGCTGGGATGTGGGCCGCAAAATTGATCTTATGAAATTGCAATAAATGCAATGCTCACAGCTCCCTGCACAGCAATAAATGGAGTGTACTTTCATATTTAAAATTCAAATTGCAATTTGACGATAACATGTAAGTATATTAGAAATCGAAAAATAGCATTTTACAATGCATCAAATCCAAATCAAAATGACTATCTTAGCTAGAAAAAACTAACCTAGATATAATGCATCAAAATAATGGGACAGACCCCACCTCACAAATTAATGTTATACAATCAAAGTGCATATCCCAATGCACGGGATATCACAAAATCAAAAGCTCATAGTCTCTCAAATTCAAGATTTGGGCCAATAAAATCAAACAAAAACTAGCTTCAACAAGTTCCTAATCTAAACATCCTAAGAAAGCCCGGAAAGGAATAGTGAATTTAGCATCAAAACAAACCTCCCCTTTCTTCTTTGTAACTCCCGGTAATCCCTCTAGACATCTTGCGGTGAAAGTTAAGCCCTTTTTATCCAAATCGTCCGTGAGTCGAAGGGAAGTATCCACTCGAATCACACTAGCCCGCACAAATCTAAACGGTTTGACAACCAACTTGAGTGTCTTACCGTTAACCATCTCACATTTGATGACGACATCATGTTGGTGCAAATCATTCTCATCCGTAACTACCCTCTCAATATCTTCCAAAGCGGCCACGGATAGTTCATTTGAGCTTTTCACAACTTCTGGAGACCATTGGGCAACCTGGGAATCAGACTGCAGTGAAAACTCGGTCAGGTTTGTGGCTGGCCCGGTCGGGTTTTGCCCCTGGACAGTTGTATTTTCATGAAATCCGGTCGGGTTAAGGCCTAGCCCGGTCGGGTGGAGCTCCTGGGCAGATTCTGCCAGACTGAATTGGGCAGCGGGTTCAACAGTTTCCACAATCTCCGCAGGTATGTTTTCCTCTCCCCCAATTTTTATTTGTTCATCTTCACCTTTCTCACTTGATTTCACCGTATCATCGTCCTTTTTTGCTAGCTTATTGCAAATAAACGGGTGGTGCCCATATATCTTACAATGGAAGCAAAAATTTGGGAATGTTTCATACACCACAAATTGTTTAACTACCTTCCGGGATGGTAGTCGAATAGGAAATGAAAGTGGCGGTGGCTTCGAAATATCCACTTCAATAAGCACTCTAGCAAAGTGGTGATTAGACCTATCATGTGTGACTTTGTCCGTAGCCAATGGGACACCAACCATGGATGCAATCTCACTCAAAGCATCCTCATTCCAAAGTTTCAAGTGTAAGTTAGGGAATTTAACCCAAATAGGTACTTTGAGAAACTCTTCATCATCAAAGGAAAAATCATCCGATAGTGCTTTTAACATAAGTAGTTTCCCAAAAATGGTGTAAGGACCCTCTTTCAACACTTTTGTCCTATCATCCTCACTTTGAAATTTAAATATAACCCAACCCTTATCATGGGGCTTAATAATGCACTTAACACCCCATGTGTTCTTCAAATCATAAATCGCTTTTAGACCGGGAAATTTTCCGGTGAAACAACCGACTAAACAAAAACCCCACATTTCAACCATACTAGGCATAATCCTATCGGAAAAGTCTATGGTTGTGCCACTAGGCGGGATGTACCTCAATTTAAAGCCATTCGAGGGTGCCCGATTGTCCTTAAAAAGGGAGGACCAAGGAGTAGCAGTCCCTGAGCTAGCTGCAGCAGTAATAGCCTGGGTTCTCACAGTAACATTCTTTAAACCTTCAGTTTGTGCATGGTTTTCTTTCCCAGCAGCATTGACCACATCTCCTGATATTTGGGGAGCAGTTCCAGCAAAAACTACCCCCTTAGCTTTCTGCACAGCACTCTTGGAGCCCAAAATCAGAGGCTCATCCTCAGTTACAGCAGCAGGAGGGGCCACAGGAGGTTGTTCACGAGCAGGTTTCCCAGGGTTTTTCACTTCCGAGGTAAGTTCAGGGAACTCCTCCCCTGCTCCATCCAGCACCGCAAACGAGGACCTGGTAATTCGCGAAGTTGAGGATGCGCCATTGACAAACTGTTTCTTCCTCACCATACTTGCGCACTACGGACGTCGCAGACAGAGGTCACAGAGGCTTGACCTCGCCTGAGCTTCAACTACCCACAGCCTCCACAGATTTAAGGCGCTTCTCCACAGGACAAATAAAACCCCAAACAACACTCAAAAATCCAGATACAAGATTGTAAAGAAATTCAAAAACGACATGAACAGTAAGCCTTCATATCGACGGACTCGTTTTTCGCGATTTGTGGTCGGAATCCTTCATCCTAAGCTCAAATTTCCTTCATCCTAAGGAAATTGAAACTCTTCAAATTGCAATTTGAAAAAGTATTAAATGGATGTACTTTAATTTCTTTAGCAATGAGAGTAGATAAATAAAGTTGTGCGGCAGAATATAGCATTTAATGCATATCACAACATCCTAAAATCCATTGGTTATAACATAATGGTTACTAGATTTTAAAGGGTTATAAATGTAATAAGAGCCACCGCTATTGGAGTATAAATACACCTGAATTTCAATATATCACACACCAAGACCAAGGCTATTGCAGTGAGAGAGAGGGTTGAAAGGGTCATTGAGGTTACCGTGGAAGAACTAAAAAATTCGATTAAAGGTATATCATTTCACTGTTATAAATCTTTTAAAACATATAGATATTCTATGTCTATGTTGTTTCTTTCATCCAAGGGCTGAGGCTAACATTCACTAAAAATGAATGTGATGAAGTATATATGCATCAACGGGTAATCGATGACAAGCTACTGATAAGTAAGGAAATGTTGAATAGGTATGTATGAGACTTATAATATATCATTGTTAATTTGATGCTTAAAATTGTACAGTTCTGTTAATTAGTGATTGTCTACTTTTTTTGCAGGTATCCTATTTTCAAATAAAACCTGAGAAAACGTACGCATGCCACAATCAACATCCAAAAATGACAGGAAAACTATGTCAAATTAAATCACAACACTGCACAATTAATTGAGTTCATTTCTCACAATAGGTTATTCTAGACATTTATTTAATTGTAGTTGACAATAGGTTAGTTTTTTGAAACCTCCTTTTATTAATAAAAACGATAAACTGTACTAGATTCTATGTTTCATGGTTAACGAAAGGCATTTGTTTAAAACAACTAAATTTTTAAGAAGCTTTGTTTGAAAATTGGTGTGTCAATTTTTTTTAAATTCGGCAACTAAGGTTGATAGAAGATTTGTGTCACCAACTAAAAAATGCTTAGAGAAATTTTCAAAACTATGAGAGAAAAAAATGTTACTGTATAACCTCATATCACCTTTAAGATAAGTTTATGTTCATGTTCAGCACACACATATTGAACAGTCTTAAGTCACACAATAGATAAGTCACACAATAGATAACTGGCTGAGAAAGTGGCAGCCCAAAGGTCAAGCGCCAGAAACATCAGCAATCACTTATTGAGCATGCATGACAAACAACTGGCAGCTCATTAAAACATTGTTCATAATGGTTCGTATAAAAACAATTTGTGCAAAAACAACATTGGGCTTCACAAAGAAATACTAATAAACATAAACCATTATTTCAATAACAGTGTATTAAAGTACTATAATACAGAAAGAATTATAATCAATGGGGTTTTAAAACCAATTTGGATTTTGGACTTGGGCACATAATGTCACTATATAGACTTAGTTTTATATATATGTAAATAGAATACGTATATATATTGAACTATTGTTCAATATAGTTGAAATAAACTATTTTTTGTTGAAATTGTGTGTGTATATGTCTAAATACTAATATAATTAACGACATTTGTTTAAAACATAACTAGATTTTTTAAAAAGCTTTGTTTGGAAACCGTTTTGTCATTTTTTTGAATTGGGAAACTAATGTTTATAGAAGCTTGGTATCACCAGCTAAAACGTTCTTAAAAAAAATCTTGATACCACCTTTAAGATGAGTTAATGTTCATGTCCAATATATCACAGAATAGATAATAGTTGGAATCTCACTTGAACAACCGTTGAACTTAATTAAACCGAACCATCAATTGTATCCACATAAGCGTAGGTCAGTCACCGGTCCACCACTCTCACCACCATTGCAGGGACTCCATTAACCTCGCACAGATCTCAGATACCCAACTGAACCGTTCACCCTCAACAAAACAAGGAAATCAGTTGTGTCAACGAAAAGAAAAGATACTACTAACAGACATAAACTCAAAGGATGGATAATCGAGAGAACTCATCGGCACAAGACCACAAACCTTCACCCGAGAACGGTCACGATACAATACAAGCATTCGCAGCACCCTCGAACATGCTGCCCACCAAATACACAGATTCAAGGCGGGTAACACTCAGGGAAGCTCGATCGTCTCTCAAGCAAACTTCTTGAAGATCCTATGCTCGACACAGGTTAAAGGAGCGCCGATTCAGAACCCTAGAAGCGTTCCTCAAGCTCTCTCTAAACGACGTAAAGAGAATTGAAAATAATCTCGAACCTAGGAAGACCTAAAGGAACATTTGGACTGGCCCACTATTTTTCATACTCAAATCCTAAGGTATTATAATGTGCCGCACTTAAATCCTTTTGGACGGACTGTGGGAACATTTGGACTGGCCCACAACGTTTCATAGTTAAATCCTAAGGGGTTCCTTTTCAGATTGGGAAAGTATTTTATGGAGCACTATCATAATTTTTTTGTACTCCGTATTACTCCCTCCGTCCCATTTATATTGTCCTGTTTTATCTTTTCGGGAAGTCCCAGTTAAATTGTCTCATACCATATTTGGCAAAGTATGTGTTGCTCTAAATCATTCTTACTTTATTCTTACTTTATCAATTAATATCAACCACACAAACCCACTTTTCTTAATAACCGTGACACCCTCTTCCGGGACAATATAAATGGGACGGAGGTAGTACATTAGTAAGAGTCCGTTTGGCAAAACTATTATTCGGCTTATCAAACTTATCATCAACTTATAAGTCAACTTTTCATCAAACACGTAACTTTTGATTTCGTGCGTTTAAACATGTTATAATAAAAAGAAAAATATTGAAGTTACTTTTCTAGATGTTTCGGCTAAAGTTACTGAGAGAATCATTATAGCTTTTTTTTACATATACATAGTAATTTTTTCTTTTTTTACATAAAAGTAGACTGCTCTAAGATTTTTTGATTATAATGTTTACATTTTGTGTGTTGTTGGACAATTGTAAACATTAACACCCACTCTTTTTAAACCATTAATCATATATCTATATCCTCTTTTCAGTCTTTCATACATTAGAATTTTATCAATATTGATGTTGTTCATGGTTGACCTAAAGCCATTAATTACATCATTTTTATTAAATTTTGTCCTGCGCATAGCACGGGTGAGAATCTAGTAGTTGCAATATTATGCATTAACGTACGTGATGGTATCTACTGACAATATCTTTCAATATTAAGAGTAACGACTGCTATAGTCCTATTTAAGAAAGAAAAATACAATAATTCTATTTTGAAATTTAAAAAGAGATATTCTCCGCAATGTCCTATTTGGATTCAACTCGGCAGTTTAAAAAAACATGAATTACCGATTCTATGGAAAAACCCTAGTCAAGATTTTAGAATAACCTAGGGTACGTTTGTATATATATATACATTTTTAACCCTGCAGTATAGCATATAGAAAACCCCTAGTGCCGTATTATCTCGACTTCTTCCATAGTTCCATAGCTTCCTACCGGAAACGAAAAATAGAGATGGACTTCTCTGAATTCATCGCCAACCAAACGGACGCCTCCTTAATGTTTGCAAAGCACGTCTTCTTCGACGTGGTCAAAGGAGATGGCAACTTTGTTGTGTCTCCCCTCTCCATTAACATCTTGTTGGGTATGGCCGCCGCCGGCTCTACCGGCGAAACACGCCGCAGCCTTCTCTCCTTCCTCAAGTCCGATTCCACCACTGATTTCGATGCTTTTGCCTTCCACGCCCTCACCAATATTCTTGCTGACGCCAGTCATCTCGGCGGCCCCAGTCTGTCGGCGGCTAACGGCGTTTGGATGGAGCAAACTCTCTCTTTTAAGCCCTCCTATAAAGATCTTTTGGAAAAATCTTATGACGCCGTTTCTCAATCTGTTGACTTTCGTACCAAGGTGTGTGCTTTTTTTCTCTATGTATGTGAATGCATGTAGTGAAACTTTCCTTCCACTCCGAAAATTGTCATAAAAGTAAAATTTTTTATCATTCAACTATTATATATAATACGGAGTAGTTGTTAGGTAGAAGGACTAAAAGTGTTAATTTGATAATATTGAGGAGATTAAATGTGAAGAATTTTAATGTCCATGAATAAAGTTTCTCTTGCACAATGGTCAGATGATTAAAAATTGAAATTGAAAGTCAGTACCAAAAAGTAGGACGGGCAAAATAGTCAGAGTTAAATGCATATATAAATCTCATTTTGAGAACATCATTAAGTATCAAATTTAATTGTTGTTTGATTGTAGTAATAAATCACTACAAGAAATCCAGATTTTTATGACGGAATTTAGTGGCAGGTGGTAGTTCACCAGGAATCGTTGACGGAAATTAGGGGCGGCCCACGATTTGTCATTTATTGCTGGCAGATTGTTTCCGACACTAAATGGAGGCGGAGTTTAGTGATGAAACGGGTCACCACTAAATAGTCAGAGTTAAATGCATATATAAATCTCATTTTGAGAACATCATTAAGTATCAAATTTAATTGTTGTTTGATTTAAAATTTTAATTTTAATGAAAATAGACTTAAGATCACTTTAAATTTTGGAATAATTTAATTGGTCACAAAATATAGAAATTTGACATGGAATCAAAACATAGAAAAAATTCTAAAATAAGACTAAGGATGTTTTCTTCGCCAAATTGGACTAACTTGGTCATATTAATCAAAAGAATGAGTTCAATTAAGAGTTCCCAAAATAGGATTAAATAAGTCTTATTTTAGAAATTAAATAATGTTATGGTAGTCCTATTTATGAACATTGTTCTTATTTGTCCTATTTAGAGAATTGAATACACGTTCTCAATTTGAAAATGAAAAACAAATGTACATAGCGTCTAACTTCCTTAATTAAATTTTATATATCATCAACATTTAGAACAATAAATTTTTGACAATGTCAGTATGCTCACTTATGTGTATCTACAAATTAAAGTAACATTGTTGTTGTGGGTGATTACTTTGTACTTAATTAATTTGTAGACAAGTGAAGCAGTTGATGCTGTGAATTTGTGGATTGAGAAAAAAACCGGTGGCGTTATAAGAAATGTACTTGATAAGAGTAAAGTTACTCCTCTGACAAGCATCATCCTTGCAAATGCACTATACTTTAAGGGGAATTGGGATGAGGAGTTTAACGAAAAGTATACAAAAGAAAGAGATTTTTACCTCATGAATGGAACATCTGTCAAAGTGCCCTTTATGACTACTGGTAAGAAGCAATGGGTGAAAGCATACGATGATTTCAAAATCTTGTGTTTACCGTACTTGCAAGATATAGATGTGAATCAGCAATTCTCCATGTATTTCGTCCTTCCTAATGCAAATGATGGTCTACCATCTCTGATGGACATCATCACTAAAGACTCCGGCTTTCTTGAGCACCACAATCCGAACAAGCTAGTTAGAGTGGGTGAGTTTCACATACCGAAATTCAATATAACTTTCGATTTTGATGTTTTGAGTGTTTTGGAGAAGCTCGGCGTGCAGTTTTCCCACGGCGGTCTTGACGAAATGGTGGTCAACATGGAGGAGAGCCCCACTGTTTCATACATTACCCATAAGTGTGTTGTCGATGTTAATGAGAAAGGAACAAAAGCTGTTGCCGCTAGTATGATGGGGTGCAGAGTGGGATGCGCACGTCCTAGGGTTGAAGAAGAGAAAGTAGACTTTGTAGCGGACCATCCGTTTGTCTTCTTCATTCAGGAGGATGTGTCCGGGCTTGTTGTCTTTGCTGGCACCGTAGTTAATCCTCTTCTTTGAGATGGGGTATGGCATGCTGCCGGATATGATGTTTAGTTTATACTAGTAATTTGCATGTGCATTTTAGAATAGCTAGCCAACGCATTCCTAATTTTTTAGTGATGCATTTTTTAGATCTTCAACTACTTGCTTGGGGGATTCCGATCTTTTTTCCTTTGAACGTCATAATAAAAGCATTTCGTCTTAGCATAATGCATGCCCGGTTGGTAATTGTTTTCCATGCCCACCCCAAACTCTTTTATGCTTAATTTGAAGTCTTATTTTTTTTTTCAAAAATGTTTGTTAGTTTTATAAGATTAAATAATAAATTTTTAAAATAAAAAGATAATAAAATGAATGGGATTTTACATCTTAGATTGACGGTTTTCGATCATTCGACCCTATATCGACATACTTTATCTTTCAAGTCCCAAAATTTATATTACCTCCGTCCCGTTAAAAGATTCCCAAAGCAAAACGGCCCAGTTAATTTTTTATACACGTACAATAATTAAATAAAGTACTTCGAGTATTTTGAGAAATTATTTTGATAGGTATATATTACGGAGTATAATGTAGTTTGTATTGATAACTGTGATGTTATAAATGTCTTATTTTTAATATTTAATGATTGATTTGTCACTTAAGATTGTTAATTGTTTCCTAAAATGGAAATGTGAACCTCTTTATGGGAAGTCCAAAAAAGGAAAGTGAGAATCTTCTAATGGGACGGAGGAAGTATTATATATAAAACAAAGTTCAAAATTTCCAAGCTTTATCGTAAGCCTTTATTATCACCTAATTGACTTTTCTTGATCAATGATACTCAAGTTTGACCAACCATATCTTTTAATACAAAATTATTTAAAATATGAAAATTATATGAGCATATTCATTATTAAAGACTCTTTCATAAAAATATAAAATTTATAAATGACAAACAAATATAATACTCAAAATCATTGTCTAAACTTTAATATCATTGATCAAGAAAAGTTAAATTGACCAATCTTTTTGGGATGGATCGAGGTAGTAATACTTTTTCTTCAAAAAACTAATGCTTTAATTGTATTGTAGGATTCATTTTAGATCTTGTCACAGAAATCATATGGTGCTAATACTATTTTATATTACTAATTATGTATTTAATGTAGACTTAATTACTCCCTCTGTCTCTCTATTTAATTTGTCTCATTTTACCTTTTTTCGTACATTCCACTAAATTTTTTTCATATGATATTTAGTAAAATTTGATTGGTTACAATTCATTCTTACTTAATTCACACGTTATTTATTCAATAAAAATTATACAATTTCACTTTTTTTTAATAACCACAGCTCATTTTTGTCCCAATCTTAGGGAAGGAGGTAGTAATAAATCACTACAAGAAATCCAGATTTTTATGACGGAATTTAGTGGCAGGTGGTAGTTCACCAGGAATCGTTGACGGAAATTAGGGGCGGCCCACGATTTGTCATTTATTGCTGGCAGATTGTTTCCGACACTAAATGGAGGCGGAGTTTAGTGATGAAACGGGTCACCACTAAATACCGAAGGGCATATTCGCCACTAAATTCTGTCACTAATGTATAAGATCTTAATCTTGTACTCATATCCATCAAAATTCACCCTTGACACACATCCTATCTACCATTTTCTCTCTACCAACTCTACTCTACCATGTTCAAACGGACTTAAGGTAAAGAGTTACTTTGTGTTATATCAAAATAAAAAATTAATTTTGAGAAATGGGTCGATCAAATGAGGTCTTCTACTATTATAAAATCATCACATAAAGCCATGTATTCAAAAAAATGTCATATAAATACGTCTACTTAGGGATTACGGTTGGAACCCAAAATGTTTTTTCTCTAGGGCTTCGACTATGTCGGCCGCTGGAGCCTTTTTCCGATTTCGACTTTGTCGAAGATTGGCTTTGCTATCCCTTGGTCGCTGGTGCTCGACGGGAGTCCACGTCAGACGCGGAGGGTGGAGATCGGTGGAGGAGGGCGGATTTGTTGTCATGGCTCGAGGAGATCGACACTGTGGTCAAGGTTCGAGGATACGGTGTTGCTGTTGTCGTTGGAGGAGTTCGGTGACATTCATGTAATTTCCATATTTAAATTTGTGTTTTTAATTAGTTTAGAGTGATTATTACTTTGGAAATTACACACTTTTGGTGCAATAGTTTAGTTTGTAAAATATTTGTAATATGTTTAGATTAGGTTTATTCTGAGCTCAAACAGGTCCAAGAACACTTTGGAGACCATTGGTGAACATCACAAGTGCAAGGAAGGTGCAAAAATACAAGAAAAAAGTGAAGATCTCGTTTTTGGTCTGTACCCGGTCGGGTATGACCTATACCCGGTCGGGTACCCTTCTGAAAAATCGAATCAAATCAAATCCGGGAACAAGGCATCATGCGGGAAGATTTTAACACGTTCGGGTGTCCATACCCGATCGGGTGACCGACAGGCCCGATCGGGTATGGCCTTATTTTTCACTTCCGGGAAGCTTCTTAATGTACCCGATTAGGAGCCTCCAAGACCCGATCGGGTACACACCCCTGCATGCTCCAATTCCCTATAAATAGACCCCTTTCCTTCCCACAAAAAATCGCCAATTCCTATATACTTCTAAGCTCAGTCTAGATAAGTTCTTTCTTTATATTTTCTTCATGTTTAGTCTCCAAATGAGGAGCTAAACTCTTCCATCTTGGTTTTGCTACTTTGAAGCTTAATGAATTGCAATTTGTGAGTTATTTTCTTTAATCTTCTTCCTTGAATATTGATTAATTCCTATTCCTATTACATATTAATATTTTGAGCAATACTTAAAGGATCAACTAGTTTTGTTTCATGTATTAATTAATACTAGAATCGGTCGATTAATACGCTTGTTATTAACTCGGTCCTTTCACGGTAGTAAACTTGGGTTGTTAATGCATGCGTCTCATGGTTAATAAGCCAAGGGGAATTAATTATATTGATTAAACCAATAAACCGCTTGTGTTGAGGTTATCAATCTCAATCGTTTCCATCTTGATTTTATTGCTACTATCGAGTGAATGTACGGCGCGTGTTCTATATTCACTCGGTAGTAAGTTTTATTAATAAATGCGTCTCGTTATTAATAACTACCCTCGATGAATTGGATATACTCCTCGATTGAGTATTCGAGAGGAAGATAGTTAAAGATATAACCGGGATCGACGAACATTTCATTAAGTGAATAAAAGCAAAGCCAAGTCTTCTTCTCATTAAGTAAACCACATAACTCGTTCATCTTCGTGTTTAAATATAATTGAAAGTTCATCAACCAAACACAAATTCCCCCTTTTGTTACTTATTTATCTCTTTAAAAAGAAAAGTATTCTTTTCCCTGTGGATACGAACCTTACTACACTATACTACGTATTAGTATCGTATTGTATTTATTTTGAGTGCACCTTACGACAAGTGCACGTCAAATTTGGCGCCGTTGCCGGGGAGAGGCAATTATCTTTCTTTTTATTTTATTTCAAAAAAAAAATAATGATTAACTAAAAATATAAAGAATTCTTATTTTTCTATTTCTGAGCTTTGTGAAGTATATGGTCCGATATCGTTCCATAAACGAAATCACTTATCAAGCAAACCCCGAAATAGAACAAGCCTTCGAGAAGTTGAGAAATTTATTTCCGCACACACCCTCGGAGGAATCCTCAAACGCTAGCTCTAGTTCTAACGAATCTGAAGAGTCAATCACTATGGCTCAAGAAACAAGAACTTTGAGGGAGCTCACAGCTCCGAACTTAAATCAACAACCATTATGTATTACCTTCCCTACACTCAACGAGGGTAATACATTTGAGCTGAAATCTGGGCTCATTCATCTTTTTCCGTCCTTCTATGGCCTAAGATGGGAGGATCCAAATAAACACCTCTCGGAGTTCCATGTTGTATGCACAAGCATGTGTCCTAATGGAGTCACCGAGGAGCAAATCAAATTGCGGGCTTTCCCATTCTCACTCAAGGACACCGCAAAGGATTGGCTATTCTATCTTCCTTCAGGAAGTATAGACACATGGGCGGCAATGAAAAAGGCTTTCCTTGAAAGGTACTATCCCGCCTCTGTCTCCTCATCTCTCAAAAAGCAAATCAGCAATGTGGAGCAAAATGATGATGAATCATTCTACGAATATTGGGAACGATTCAAGAAACTTTGCAAGCTGTCCATACCATGGCTACTCGGAGCAAGACCTCATTCTATACTTTTATGATGGTCCTTGCAATAATGATAAACGAATGATCAACGCCGCATGTGGAGGAGGAATCGTCAACAAAACCCCCTCTCAAGCTATGAATCTTATCTCGGAATTGGCCGAGAATTGTAGATATCACAATGGGAGGTCATCCAAAAAACGAGTGATGGCGGCAGAATCCAACACCTTGTTGGAAAGTCAAGTTGCCGGCTTGACTTCTTTGGTTAAGGATTTCCTTTTGAATTCCAAGACCCAAGAAGTCAAGGTCTGCGGCATTTGCACACAACAAGGGCACCCAACCGACTCATGCCCGACACTACAAAAAGACAACTCCGAGCAAGTCAACGCTTTGGGGTTCCCAAATCAAAAAAGGTACGACTCCTATGGCAATACTTATCATCCCGGGTTTAGAGACCATCCCAATTTGAGATATGGGAATCCCCAAGGGAACCCACAACAAAACAATCCTCCACAAAATCAATTTCCTCCAAATAAACAACTGTACTCTAAACCCCAAGGCCAAGGCTCAACTATGTCCACCGAAGACATGATCCGAGCACTCACCTCAAATGTCTCAACCATGCAACAAAACATGGTTCAATTCCAACATGAGACAAAATCAAGCATCCAAAACCTTGAGAATCAAATGAGCCAAATCTCAAGTGCGGTGAGTAGGCTTGAAGCCAAGGATTCAACAAAGCTTCCATCTCAAACGGAGCCGAATCCTAGGCAACAAGCCCATGCGGTGACATTGAGGAGTGGCAAAGAGTTGGTGATTGCCAAGGAGAAAGCCAAAAGCCACATTGGCGAGGAAGAGGAAGAGGAGCTTGTGGACAAAGCTCAACCGGAGGAAGAGGAAGCTCACATTTCAACTCCACCCCCGGTTATTCATGAAGTGGAAGCACCGTTTCCTGAAGCTCTAAGGGAAACGAAAAGGGTGGAGAAAGACAAG